GTGCTTTTTCCTCAATTCCCGCATTTGATTTCTGCCATGGAAACAAGTTCATGAGTTTTCCCGAACACATACATTTCAAATTCAAACAACACTCAATTTAATAATTTCACTACCTTAAAAAAATACATTATCCCTAACATAAAAATAAAGAGCAGTTTGCATAAGTCTAACCGCAAAATAATGTTCTCTTGTCCATAAGTAAGTTTCTATTCAACAACCACATGATCAAGAAAACCAAGAAACAAGTTGAAGATGACTCAATTTGTTATAGAATGGATGAAGGAACTAATTAATGTCTGTGAAATCCTGATAAAAAATGATGCATGCATGGATGGCCGGTTTGTTGACTACCAGAACCAGATAAATGCATCCCACATGGTGCCAATGGCGAAAACAACAGGTAAGACGATCTGGCCTCTGTAAATGGAACGTGGAGAGGAACTCGTTATTGGGGAGGCGGTGGGAGGGGGAGGTGGGTTCTCAACAAGGACAGATAGCTTCACGCCTCCATAGCAGAAGCCTTTGCCACTAATGAAGTAGTACGGCCGTGTCTCGTTCAGTGGAACCACATCCCTTCCAACTTTAGTTGTCCAATTTTTAAGTGGATGGTCGGAGTTGCATGACTCATAGTCTGTCTTGTTCACCTCCAGAACATCCATCAGGTTTCTATCATGCACAAAAACTGCAGAAAGTAATAACAAATTAATATCAGCTCCAAATAGAAATGGTTCAGTTTCCTAATTCGGACCCGAGATGATTTCCAGCAGCAAATTACAGAGATGGAAATTGTTAGTGCTTTAAGTAACCATGCAAGAGAAAAGGTTTGATTCCTAGCAACTCACTAACTTGAAGTGCCTATTTCAGATCCAAAGATATAAAGATAAATGCAATTAGAAGGACAGGGAAAAGAGCAGCTTACAGAGCCAGTCTCCATTGTAGAAGTGCTTGTCCTGAGCCCAGATGGTGTAGTTCACATTGGTATTCCACCCCTTGTCTGATCCCACAATCCACCTTACAGCCTCCACCTCCGGCACCATCACCATCATGGCACAAGCGAGAACTGCCACGACCACCATCATTCTGCCTCCTCTCACCCCCTCCATTGCTGCTTCTCTTTCTCTCTCAAAATGCTCTGTTTTTGCCTGCTTTTCTTGGGTTATTTGGTTTTGGGTTTTATTAGTAGCAAAGACAGCTAGCATTGGTCAACTTAGGAGTTATTTTAATATTCTACCTTCACTCACACTTTGATGTCTCCAGATCTACAACTATACTGGATTTTTTTAATTTCATAAGATAAAATAGTTATTTATTTATATAAGCTATTAAAAATATACATATTTTTCAAAAATTGGAGCCCCATGTTCATGGTTCAGATAAAAGTTCAATATTTTTCAGCTTCAGTTCATTCTGCAAGAAACATTGGCTGAGATACACGGTTGGAAGGTAATTTGAGAAAAGTGGGGACTACCTAGTAAAACAAAGAGCTACTGTATTTTGATAAACCCCATTGATAATGTTTTCTTTCCTCTTATAAAGAAAAACTACAGAACAAAAGCAAATCAACAGGAGTTTATAAGCTGCATTTCATTAAGTGAACCAAACTGCTTTCAGTCCAACCTCCTGAGTAAGTACTCAACTTGAACTTCCTTTGTCATAGGCATAATCCACTCCCCATAAAGATCAGCAACCAGGCTTGGTTTTATCTTGTACACTGGATCTGCATCATCTTGTGGCTTCCCCACAGTGATTTCCATCCCAAAAGTTTTGGCCTTGATTTCCACCCTCAGCTTGATTGCCTCTTCAACTACAGGGTATGTCAGCATTTCCATCAGTTTGTCACTGTCCTGCAAAATCCAAAGGAACAGGTAAAATGATAATGTGAAACCAACCCAATACATTGTATAGCAGAAAGGCAGCTTGAACTTCACTAGGGATTATTTACCTGAGCTTTAATAGCTGCTATATAGTCATTAGGAGCTGCTCGGAATTTAGCCTCTGCTACAAATTTGCCGTAGTGAATCCTTTTTGATAGAGTCTGCAATGAGAGGGAAAATAAGTTTCCCATGATATGAACTTGTCACTTATCAAGAGTACAATCAACTATGGCAGGTATGGTAGGAACTGGAACTGGAACTGGAAATTGAACCTATAGTTTAAGAGATTCAGATTTGTATCTATTGCCATATTAAGCAACAAGCTTAAAGTCATGCTTAACTTCACCAGCAATAAGACTGGGCAGTATCCAGATTTTTGCCCAAGTCAACATCTAAATTCGTATATTGGCCTTAACAATAGCTTCCAAATAGATTAGATAGCTTGTGAAGCTAACAAAGGAACATAAAGCTCAGGCTAAAGCTACAATCGACATTATTTGATGCCTAAAACTGATAGAGCCTCTCAACTGAAACAAATAACGTTCAGAAATCAGAACATCTTAACCCCACTGGTTTTTTTTTTTTGGAACATTGTCTTAACCCCACTGGTTGGTTGTTTCACCAGCCCAAATTTTCCATTAACGCTCATAACTCTTAAACGCAATGAGTAGTAATCATACATATTCTGGCATAAGGGTAGTAGGAAGGGAATAAAAGGAGAGGATGTATGTAACTTACATCCATTAATCATGCTAAATCAAGGCAGGACAACAAACTGAATAGAAGCAATAACATTCAAGGCAATTAGAATGCATGAGAAGAGTTAATTCAGAGGACTGCTAAATCACAGGAAATCATGCCTAATGTATAACTATCAGGCCAATCAATTGAAGCAGATGGGTAAATATGCAAACCTGCAGACACATTGTGTCGCAAACAGCAGTCGATCCACAATTGCCATCATTGCCAGTCTTTACAAGTCTCGGAATGATATCTCTTAAGTACAGATCCCAGACTTTTTTGTTGAGATTAATTGAGTCAGCACAGGGATGCAGTACCTGTTTTGATGCCAGAAAAGAGAGCCAACAATTTTCACATGCTATACTTGAATAACTGAAAAGCTGAATAGAAGCTGAATCAATTGAGTTTATGTAACAAGCAGGTAAACATTGGTCTGAAGATTTCAAAGGAAAAGCAATCACAACTTGTTCAATCAGTAACTCCTGGATACAAACAGAAGACTATTTTACCAGAAATTTTTTAAATTTAAAACTGCAATTCACCCCTTTCCTTCTGTGACGAAACTAACAGAACAATTTTTTTTTTAAAAAAAAAAAATTTTGCAAAAAGAGACTGCGACAAAAATTTAGGGCCTGTTTGGATTAGCTGTTTAGGTACAGCTAATAGCTAATAATTGATATTTGGCAGTTAATAATTGTTGTTGTTTATAATTCAAAATATCTAATCTGTTTGATTAGAGCCAACAGCTAGTAGCTGTTTGCAAAAGAGTTAAAACAAAACACCCCCTTAAGCTGCTTTTGAATTGATTTATTGATCAGCAGAACTATGAACTGGGTTAATGGCACCGTTGGCAAAGATTGTAACTTTGATTGCATCTTACCTGTGGATACTGCATGGGAGGCAGTAGAGGCTCGGGTAGCTGATTGGGGAAGAAAGGATGCTCATCTGGGCTCTTGTATCTGCCAACCTGGTTTACAATTAAAAGTCAATCAGAAAGCCTGAACTGATGTTTTGCTCTAATTCCTGTTCACCTCTTCCTCCCAGCCATTACTTTTCTTACCAGATGTGTGGGTTAAACATACCCGAGCATGAAGCTTCTCAGTCTCTTGGACCATATACTCCACCAAACAGCCATGGAACCCATCCATTGAGAAAGCATTGGGATCATATGTATCTGCATTATAACAATATTTAGCCCTCTCTAGAAGGCAAAATATTATGCTGTCCTCCTGTCGAATTAAAGAACGCCTTATGCCATCCAGAGTCAAGTTTTCACTCTCATCCACCCTTTTCTTAGTAGGCAGCGGTCTGCATAAATAATATGACAATATCAGATGCTAAAAAACTTTGGAACAGGAAACAACCATGTTCCAATACCAATTATGTGTTGAAGCATGCATGTTGCATTGTAAGCAACCAGGCGAGTCAATAATAATGTAAGAAATTTGACCTTCAAAAGCAAGTTGATGTAAAAATGTCAAAAAGAGAAACAGAAATTAGCATAATTTAAAGAACAATTACAGTGCACTGAATGACTTAAGGGCAGCCAAAATGTGATTCCAACATACTTTTGTACAATGTTTATAAGGTATTAGAGATCAACTTATCCAAGGGCTCAACAGAAGTACGTGATAGTCATGACTGCTCAAGACTTAATCATACTTCTAGATTTGCAGCAGACTGCCAAGGTTATTTTGAGTAAATAGTTGTGGAGTCTAACAATGAATGTTGTCATAGTGCAAACAGAAGAGCTTGATTACAACAGAATGCTCATAATGGACATATGAGCTCATAATAGGAATCATTCAGCAGAAAGGAGTTTAGACAGTAGTTAAAACCAAATTCCTTACCAATCTAGGAATTCAGTCATTAGAAGCATAGAAACAAACCCAATCACCATAACAGGAAGGAAATGCAACATCATCCAAATTCAAAAGTTCAACATTGAAAGCCAAAGACAACAACTTGCATCCCCAACCAAAACACGGCAGCAAAACACATGCCTATTTTCAGATTCAGAACAACAAACCAAAAGCCTAAAAAAAGGTGGAGACAAAATAAAGGCTTCTTTAAAAGAAGAAGAAATTCAAGGAATAGTCCAGAAGTTAGTGATGAATTATGAGAACTAACAAATATAAATGAGAAAAGTTAATACGTTTATTCCCTGCTGAGGTCACAAAAGCATGGATAGATTGAGTGCTATTCTTTGACAAGCTTGGTCAAAAGACAAACATGAAGACTTGGGCTGGTTGACATTGCTAAGAGGTAATTAGTTTTAGAAACCTGAATGCATTAAGAGCATCCATTCTTGGAAAGGAAATCCTCAACGTCTCCACCTTCATTGACCACATAGAGGAGAGATGACAACAATCTCGACAAGTCGGAAAGGGTTTAAACTTGAAACTTAAAACTTAAAGCTATAAGCAAAGAAAGTTAATAAATAAATAAAACCTGCAATAGTAGGATAGTGAAGAACAAGAACTTCATGTAGACCATACCAAGACATGTAATGCATAACCTATGATGGTTTAAAATGGAAAAAAAGTTTAGAGTTAAATTAATTCTATGCCAATCATGGTTGGGAACCCATGCTCGAATTGTGTGGGATCAACAACACATCATCGCAATGCATTTGACCAAGTCATTTTGGTATGATATTAAGGACCATTCAAAAGTTTAACGGCTAAAGCTTTTACTTTTAGACACTCTATAACATGTTTCCAAATCACACAGACCTCACAACACGTTCATGTAAAGGGTTGCACCACTTAAAAGTAGATGCCATTTTTAACTTTTCGATGCCAAAACACACTCGCTGACAATCATGTGGACCCTACAAAGATAAATAGTGTTTAGTCTATGGTATTTTTCAAAAAAGGAAAGTTTAAAGCTAATCTTAGCTAACCATGGTTGAAGGCACAAACGCCTTAATTTTGTGGGCTCCACAAAATGTCATTGAGAAAAGCTGTGTCTAAGTTATTGTGGCATGATATAAAGGACCATTCAAAAGTTTAATGGCTAACGCTTTTATTTTCGGACACTTTGGCACACATTTCCACACAACCATGTGATTAAGAAATATGTGTCTCAATAATTCAGGTATGATGTCAAAGGCTACTCAAAATTTTAAATTAACTCCTTCATAATTTTTTTTAAGAACGAGAGAGGGTAAAATTAAAACTGCAGACTCATATCCAATTATTAAGATTGTGCAATAATCAACCACAGCTAATATAGTCAATAAAAAGTAATACAATCACTTTGGATTACGTTTTGCAAGATTTCATTTAAGCCTATCACATACTCTTTTTGTTCATGGTTTGATAATGCAGAATGTTAGGCATTGAGAAAGTGAGGAACCACACCAATTTGTCTCAATTCAAGAAAATGTATTGAATTAACCATCTACTTACATAAACCTCCACGGTTTTTGAGACTTTTCTCAACAACTAATCAATAGAGAAATAAGTTAATATCAATAAGAAAAGTACTGTGATGTGATGTGATATGATATGAATTGTCTAAATGCATTAGGATAGAACCACGTTAAAATCTCCAATGTAACAAATCAATAAGCAGCTTGAGGGCCAGTGTGCCATCAAGAGCTAAAAACCAAGACATTAAACCAAGGCTATTAGAGAATTGTAACCAAAGGAATAAACCCAAATCCCCTAACATGAATGAACATGGAACACCAGCCAAATTCATATGTAGGACATTGAAAACTAAAGATAGGATGTACCCTTTGTGAGAAATAGCACAGATTAACAAGGCAAAGCAACAATCAAACACATGCCCATTTAAATATTCTGGAAAAGGAACAAAAAACCTTGAAAAGAGCTTGACAAGGCCCAAGAAAAAGAGAAGGCTTTCAAGACAACAGTGCAGAATCTAAAGCCGAATTCTGAGAATTAACAAAGATAAAGGATAAAGTTTCAAATTTTATACCCAGATGAGGTCGTAGAAGCTCGAATGGATTGAATGCCGTTCTTAGCCAGGTACGACGAACTCCCCACC